ATCTGAGTATAAAATCGACACACAATAGAATATCAAAAGATTATATATTCTGCTATTCAGCAATGCATATTCAATCTCGTGAGTTGTCTGATGACCATAAGCACCGGCGACTACCATCACTGGTGGCACCAGACACAGGCGCACCCCGAAAACGTGACACGGCAACACACGGAGACCACCACAAATGACTCGTGTGACCTGCAGCAGGCCCCCAGGTGTTTTGCGGACTTCACGCGCAACACGTCTCGACGACCCATAGCAGACAATACGGCGTGACCCGGTGACGCGACCTGGTGACAGGCACACGCAGCGACCGACTCTCTCAGTCATCCCCATGAAGCACGACTTTCCTCGGCGATCAGCGAGCAGTGGTCGACATCTGATGAGACTCAGACGATCTCTATCAACGAAAATCTGAAAGGCCCTAGAGTAGGTAAAATTTTTGAAACATAAGTCCTAAAAAAAAATGGATTTCATAACGCTAGGACTAAATTCTTTAAGTATTTGAATGTGCACATGAGTCGATGTTCTCAACCGAACCAACAACTGGAATCAGAGCTGGCTGATTAGGCTCTTATGTACACTTTGAATTAGAATTATGTGAAAATACATGAAATAATTCTGTACGGACGCAACGTATAATAGTATACAATTGCAATGTTTGCATTTTTTACAGGAATTGTTTATCTTAGTATTATGGCATGTATGCACGTGCTTTATTTCTGCATGTATGTTGGCGCTTTTAAAACCTCGAACATGTTGGGGATTTATTTGGGTTTTGAAGGATTGTATTATTTTTAAGCGCGCGGTGAGACACTGCATAGTTTATCGTTTTACTGGAATAAGTCATGTAACGACCCTCCATGGGTCTTAGGTTGATTTATGTAATTATTTGTAATATTTTATCGACTAACATGAAAGATTGAGGACGAGCTCAGATGAGTGAGGGCCAGACCGGTGCAATCCCGAGCAAGGTGAGATAAACCGCGACCCGTGGTTGCCGGTGTATGACGTTTCATACTCACGCTAGGGCGTCTACGGGCAGTTCGCTGCAATGCGCGAAGACTCCATGCATTTGGTGAGGGGAGACAGGTACGCACGCTGTGCGGTAGGGGCTAAATGTCGCGGTCAGGTAAGCATGGGCGACGTAAGCGTGCGCTTTCTGCGCACAGGCTCGGTTCGGAGATTTTTATTTTTCAGTTCGGCTCGATATTCGGGTCTATTGGAACGGTTCTGTTCGGTATGGTTCGGTTCCAATCTTCGGATATTTCTTTTAATTTTTATATGTTTTAAAAAATAATAACATTTATCAATACCTCATCATATTGAATATTTTATTTTGTAATAAACATTAAAAGTAACTCTAAATTTTAGTTATTTGATTTATATATGCTTTTAAAAAAACCAACATTCATCAATACTTTCTCATATTAAAGATTTTATTTAATTAGAAATTAACTTTATAAGTAACTTTAATTTTAGTAAAGATTAAATTTGTGCAACTAATATTGAAAAACTTAAAAATGCAAACAAAATATAATATCGTTTTCTTAAAAAATATTCTTAAATGTTTCCTAACATTTTAAATAGTTTTTTTATAATATGAAAAATTCAATAGTAGATAAGTATCACTAAGCATAAAATTTAAGTGAATTTTAATTGCTATTACTATATTTTATTTACATTTTAAAAATTCTCAAATTATATAGTATCAAAGTTGACATAAAATATATTAATAACACACATCTAATAATTTTGGTTCTTAGTTTTTGTTATTCAGTTCGATACGGTTACTGGGACGGTTCGGTTCTCGGTACAGCTATTTTTGAAATCTCCAGAACTGTACCAATTATTGTGTACAGACGCAACGAATGTTGGTTGCTGGTGTATGACGTTTCGTACTCAGGCTAGGGCGTCTACAGGCAGTTCAGTGCGCGAAGACCCCATGCATCTGGTGACAGGAGACGGGTACGCAAGTTGTGCGGTAGGGACTAGGTGTCGCAATCGGGTGAGCACGGGTGATGTAAGCGTGCGATTTGTGCGCACAGGCTCGGTTCGAAGATTTTTATAATTCGATTTAGTTCAGTTCGGTATTCGGATCTATTGAAACGGTTCAATTCAGTATGGTTCATTTTCAATATTCGGAGTCCTTTTAATTTTTATATGTTTGAAAAAAAAAATAGTAACATTATCAATACTTCATCACATTCAATATTTTATTTTGAAATCAACTTTAAAAGTAACTTTAAATTTTAGTTATTTAATTTTTATATGCTTTAAAAAAAACCAACATTCATTAGTTCTTTCTCATATTAAATATTTTATTTCATTAGAAATCAACTTTATAAGTAACTTTAAATTTTAGTAAAGAATATTAAAAAATTTAAAATTCAAACAAAATATAGTATCGTTTTCCTAAAAATTATTCTCTAATCTTTTATAACATTTTAAATAATTTTTCTTATAATGGGAAAAATTCAATTGTAGATAAGTATTACTAAGCATGAAATTTAAGTGAATCTTAATTGTTATTACTATATTTTATTTACATTTTTTTAATTTTTAATTGTTATTACTATATTTTATTTACATATATTTTTAATTACATATATTTACATATATTTTTACATATATTTTTACATATATTTAATTACATATATTTAATTACATATATTTACATATATTTTTAATTACATATATTTACATATATTTTATTTACATATATTTTTACATATATTTTATTTACATATATGTTATTAAAAATTTTATTTACATATATTTTATTTACATATATTTTTAATAAATATATTTTATTTACATATATTTTTAATTGTTATTAAAAATTTTTAATTTTTAATTGTTATTACTATATTTATTAAAAAATTTTAATTTTTAATTGTTATTACTATATTTTTAATTTTTAATTTAAGTGAATCTTAATTGATAATTTTTCCGTTTTTGCCCCTATTTACTCTTATTTTCCTCGACTTCTTTAAATGTATACGATTTTGCTTCGAAACGCGATGGTGCGAGAAATATATGTTATCCACATCAAATAATGGTGTCGTGTTCGAAAACAAGCCTTTAAAAAGACGTTGATTATTTTTTCGTTTTTTCTCCTATTTACTCTTATTTTCCTCGACTTCTTTAAATGTATACGATTTTGCTTCGAAATGCTATGGTGCAAGAAATATATGAT